GTCTCGGAGAGAGAGGACGGGAAATGTACAAAGAAAAGAGGGGTAAAGGTAATTAGACGGAAATGCATGAGAGAGAGAGAGAGAGAGAGAGAGAGAGAGAGAGAGAGAGAGAGAGAGAGAGAGAGAGAGAGAGAGAGAGAGAGAGAGAGGGAGGGAGGGAGAGAGAGAGAGAGAGAGAGAGAGAAGAGAGAGAGAGAGAGAGAGAGAGAGAGAGAGAGAGAGAGAGAGAGAGAGAGGAGAGAGAGAGAGAGAGAGTGAGTTTAAGAGAGAGGAGAGAGAGAGAGAGAGAGAGAGAGAGAGAGAGAGAGAGAGAGAGAGGAGAGAGAGAGAGAGAGAGAGAGAGAGAGAGAGAGAGAGAGAGTGAGTGAGTTTAAGAGAGAGGAGAGAGAGAGAGAGAGAGAGAGAGAGAGAGAGAGAGAGAGAGAGAGAGAGAGAGAGAGAGAGAGAGAGAGAGAGAGAGAGAGAGAGAGAGAGAGAGAAGAGAGAGAGAAAGAGAGAGAGAAAGTTTAAGAGAAAGAGAGAGAGAGAGAGAGAGAAAGAGAGAGAGAGAGAGAGAAAGATAGATAGAAAGAGAAAGAGAAAGAAAGAGACAGACAGACAGACAAAGAGGGAGAGTTGATAAACGGAAGATAGACAGACATACCGTCATTTTCATTCACAAGCAAAAAGTAAAAAGAAAACAGAAAAAGAAAAGAAGATACAAATAAAAGGAAGAGAAAGCGTGACATGAGAAATGTGCTCACTATCTCTTTTTTCTTCTCAGTTACTTATTAAATCAATGATGATAATGATGGAAACAACAACAATAGTAATAATAATAATAATAATAATAATAATAATAATAACAATAATAATAATAACAATAATAATAATAGTAATAGTAGTAATAATAAAAATAGCAATAATAATAATAATAATAATAATAATAATAATAATAATAACAATAATAATAATAACAACAAACTTAAGAAGAAGATGAAGAATGATAAGAATATCATTAATAATGATAATATTATGATAATAAAGCAAATATGGAAGCTGAGGAAAAAAAATAATGAAAGCAATGATAATGATAATAGTTATAATAACAAGGATGATAATAATAATAGTGATGATGATATTGATATTGACTGCATTTACCATCATCATCATTTCCATCATTTTCATATTGCAATTATCAATATTTCCATTATGGCCACTTTTATCATTATCATTGATATGATCATTATTATAAATGTTATTGTTGTTGTTACTGTTACTCTCATCGTTATTATCATCAATATCATTATCATCACGAAAGAAAAGACAAAATGGACGGTAATATTAAACATATACGTTTGCTGCAAAATAAACATTTGCTTCAAAATAAACATCTGTTTCTATATAAACATCCGCTTCGAAATAAATATTCTCTTCAAATTAATAATTCGCTTCAGTATAAACATTCACTACAAAATAATAATTCTCTTCAAGATGAACAAATCTTTTCCAAAAAGAAAAATTCGCTTCAAAATAAATATCGGTTCCAAAGAGAAAATTTCGCTTCAGTATAAACATTCACTACAAAATAACGATTCACCTCAAGATAAACATTCGCCTCAAAACAGACATCCCTTTCCAAATAAACTCCGCCTCAAAATAAAAAATCGCTTCAAAATAAACATCTATTTCAAAATTAATATTCGCTTCAAAATGAACAACCACTTTAGAATATAAATTCGCTTCAGCATAAACATCCACTTCAGAATAAACATCCACTTTCAAATAAACACCCGCTTCACCATAAACATCCACTTCAGAATAAACATCCACTTCAGAATAAACATCCGCTTCAGAACAAACATCCGCTTCAGAATAAACATCCACTTCAGAATAAACATCCACTTCCAAATAAACACCCACTTCACCATAAACATCCACTTCAGAACAAACATCCGCTTCAGAATAAACATCCACTTCTAAATAAACATCCACTTCAGAACAAACACCCGCTTCAGCATAAACATCCACTGTCCAAATAAACATCCACCTCAGCATAAACATCCACTTCAGCATAAACATCCACTTCAGCATAAACATCCACTGTCCAAATAAACATCCACTTCAGCATAAACATCCACTTCAGCATAAACATCCACTTCAGCATAAACATCCACTTCAGCATAAACATCCACCTCAGAATAAACATCCACTTCAGAACAAACACCCGCTTCAGCATAAACATCCACTGTCCAAATAAACATCCACTTCAGAACAAACACCCGCTTCAGCATAAACATCCACTGTCCAAATAAACATCCACTTCAGCATAAACATCCACTTCAGAACAAACACCCGCTTCAGCATAAACATCCACTTCAGCATAAACATCCACCTCAGAATAAACATCCACCTCAGAATAAACATCCACTTCAGAACAAACACCCGCTTCAGCATAAACATCCACTGTCCAAATAAACATCCACTTCAGCATAAACATCCACTTCAGAACTAACACCCG